CCTCAGCAGCCTGGTCTGAGCTCAGACCTGACCCTGCTTTGCACAGGAAGTTGGACAAATGACCTCCAGAAATCTTCAACCAAAATTGTTCTATGATGATATTTTTTTTTATCTGTGTGTGTGTCTATGTATGTGTGTGTCTATATATATATGTACGTATTCTGAGTAATGATTAATTAGTTACAGTTGTTTTGCAAAGTATGTTCTTGGATTCTAAAAAAAAGAAATCTGTGTAGCTCAGCCCCTCTAGTTGAAGGGCCAGAAATACATTCATTATGTTTCAATTGATATTTTTAATTATAGTTGGTATTTCTGAGCCATTTACATGTGAGAGCTAGCCTGTTGGTAAGTGGCATTTAGATAATGAAGTGTTGCATCCCTTTTCAAGACAGCATAGTTCTGTTCTAATATATTAATAGCTGGTTGTAGCCTGCGCTGTGGTTCTGTTTCTTCACTGTTCCTTTCTAACACCTTTTCAATCTGCCCAATAACTTTAATAGAATTTGAAGGAAAGATGGATTTCTCGGAAATAAGTAAGTCACTGGGTGGGGTGACCAAATTAGCCCCTCTCTTGAGGGTAAGGCAGGCGCAGCTCAGCAATTACATGACTTTTTGTTACATCTTTTTTGTGGGGCTTTATGCAAGTAACAACGTCCTGGTTTACTCCATGGTCATAAGGACCATAACAGGACAGCTGGGTTACTGGGGTGAGGAGAGGTCTCTGGAGCCAGGGAAGAGGAGAAGGAACAGCAGAGGACTTGGGAGTGCAGGAAACCAAGCTCCTCTTGTTCTGCAGCTCACTTTCTGAGGAAAAGACCTGTCAGCGTTTTTCAAAGTGCTTTGGAGGATTCCGTGATCCGTTTCATGGGATGCACGGTCAACGTCGTGTGATTCCACTAATGTCACAAGACAGCGGAGCTGATCTCTAGTTTAGGGCTCATGCCTTGGTGTCCTGCTCTGAGCATCCGAATGCTGATGGCTTGGAGACTGAACTTCTCTCGTATAAGGAGGAGCCCATCTGAAAATAAAATAGGGGCATAGCAAGAGCCACTATGAGAAAATAACTACAGCTTCTGTCTCTGAGAAACTGAACAGCCCCCAAACCTCTGAGCAGCTTACGTGGTGTGATAACTGTAACAAGACCTGATCCTGAAGCCTCTTCTCTCTCCCGTGCATGGCCAGGTGGGGTCAGCCTGTGGCCAGCTGGGTACCTCTTTTCTCCTCGAAATGTTCAGGGCACAGTTTCACTGGTGTCTCCAGAAATAACAGCTTTCATCACTTCCCTCACCCGTTTTGTCATGTGTTCGTGGTAAGAGCAGGAGCGCACATGCTGTTTCTGGCACAGAGGAGGAGATAACCAGTTGGGGGGCCAGCTTCTTTTGGGGACAGTGCTGCCTTAAAATACTTGTGAAACCACAGCCTCGGGCATTCTTGAGCTTTCTGTTTCACCATCTGAAGGGATGCCATCTACGCGGTTTTTTTTTTTAAGGCTTCTGAAAAGCTTAGTCTGTGTTATGAGGAATGTGTTAGGTGTCTTAGATATTTATGTAATTATACTAATGAAGTGGTTTTATTTATTGTTTTCTGAGGAAATGCTTGGTATTTTTGGATTCATGTTCTTCAGAGAGAGGAGATGAATTTCCTGTTAAGATTTTGAATATGATTTTTTCAAATGTCTTCAGAGAAAAAAGTAAACTTGAAGAGTGATTACAGAATATTGGCTAATTAGCTATAGTGTAACTGCTTTAATTACTTTTATCCCTGAAGCCACATGACTGTGCAGATGACTAGCAGATGACTTATTTAAAAAAAAAAAAAAAGACGTGTTCACACTGCAAGGTTAATGAGCCTAATTAAATATAGTTTTCCTTAGCCAGATACTAAATCATGAAGCTGAGGGGAGACAGGGAGGGGAAGAATCCAAAGGCAGTCAGTTCTATTTCAAATAATGAATTTATTCTGATTTTTATTGCAAAAAAAGAAAAAGAAAAGCTGGAATTGTGAGTGATTTTTCTGGATAAAGATACTTACATTGAAAGAGTTTGTGAGACCTCACGTGGCAAACTTTGGAAGTCTATTTAGAGACAATTATGCTGAGACATATTTGTTTTCCAATGCCCACTGCTTTAATTAATGGAGAAGTGGGCTTGAATAAAAAGGTCTGTGCTAGATAGAAGTCTCCATCTGCTACTGTGTGTTACCCGAACCTTTGTCCTTCCTCACCAAGCGTTTTTTTTATTAAACCATTTTATTTCCTTTAGTAAGCTGCATAATGTCTCACATTAAGATATACAGACAGGATGGAGTTCTGATTTTTTTAAAAAATTATTTTAATTTTTTTTAAGTTTTCTGCTTGTGCTGTGCACAGTGGTTTGGTATCCCACATTCGGAAAAGTACTCAGAGATCCAGATTTTGTGGTCTTTCAAGGAAACTTGTGTATCAGGCACAAAAAAAATAGATATTACACCTTACTGAATTGCCGTGTGTCAGATACCTTCGTGACTGGTCTTGAGTTACTGAAAACAGCAGGTAAAATGTGTTACACAGTGAAAAGGGCTTAAGCCAAGGAATTTCAGCATATTTGCAAAGAACATGCAATCAGCTATTACTAATCAGCTGGTGTATGGTAACTGCCACAGGTGACTTTGGGCAAAGCAAAAGTAGCAGCGTATTTCACTTCCACTGTTCTTTCCCATCGTTTCTCCCATTGGTTAAGAATTTACTTTTTTTTTTTTTCTTTCTTTCTTCAAATGGTGTTATACTCGATTATTTCCTTTAAGCTAATCTAGTGTGCAGTGCTCTATTTCCAGAAAAGATTGCACAGACCTACTGGGAAGCTATGCTCAAAAGTCAGATAGGGGCCGATACAACAGCTGTATGTGGGTTTCTGATAGTCCAGCACAAGATGAATCAGACTGAATCCTCTCCATATAATGAGTAACGAAGAGTTAACCTACTCATGGGGGAAATTTCTATTCTTTCACTTAAATTTTCATCTGAAACCTGAATTTCCCATATCTAACAGAGTGGACACTGTCTTTATATTCTTCCAAACTCTTATATAGAAAGCTGTATTTTTTTATAAATTAATTATTTAGTTGGAAATTTTGGTTGTCTTTTGTAATGTGGGAAGAATAGGTTAGAGTAGAGTAACTGAAAGGATCCTTATTAAAGAGCAAGAAGCCGAGTTCCTCACCTAAACTATTTTCTTTGATTTCATCACGTTTTCCAAAGGGTCTTAAAGGTCACCGTGCACCCAGTAGGGTACAAAAGTTACCTTGATAAATTAGATTATGATTAAATGATTCTACCTGAGCACTTGGCACACAGTAGGAGGCTCACAACACAGTGATTGTGTTTCCTTCCTTTATTTATTTAATTCTTTTCCTCTCCCATGGTCTTTGTCAAACATTGCTTGTACTGGCCCCATGGGAAGTGATGTATGCTCTTTGCTGATCACGTAGGAGCCTCGACCTTAAAGAAACTGCAGGGGATGTAGAGGTTTCACTAGCTTGTATTTCAGCTGTCTGTGTGTGTATGGTTTGCATTTATCAATATTCAAAAAGAAGGAAAGTTCTAGCCATAGATTTTGGAGCAATAGCTTTTCTCACCTGCTTTCTACGTGCCAGTTGAGCTTCTTGAGCTTTTGGGGCAGAAGGAGTAAGGCTGTGGCTTTGAAAGCGGAGAGAAGTAATGAGAGTTTGTGGTGTGACTGGTTTGCAACTTTGCAAACTCCTTTTCTTTGTCGCCATACAGTGGGACTGATGCTAAATTCTTAGAAAAATCCTTAAATTCTTTAGGATTCTTTTGAAATTCCTGCTTTGGTTTACTTTTTCTGCATTTGGCCAACATTTTGACCTTGTAGATACTGGTCATTTAAGTACTTCTATGTGGTAATAGGAAAATGGTATCAGGGTGGCTTACTATGCTCAGAACAAGATTTTGTGTGGCTGCATTTCATGCCTTTGTCCTGCATTTCCACTGAGTCATCCTTACCCTAAATTGGTTTCTCCAGAGCTTTTTGTAAGTCTAATTAGATAAACAAGCTTGTATTTACATATACTTTAGCTAGTGTATTTTTTCTGCACTTTTTTTTGGCTATTAAAATTGTGAAGTAGGAAGAAAAAAAAATTGAGGATAAGATTTCTGTACAAAATTAGTGATTTTGGCTATCGCCTTTTTTTTAAGATTTTAAATCTTTTTTAATCAATGTGCTTGAGGAAAATGCAAGTTTACTACAGTAGTGAAGAAGACTCAGAGAGATGAGAAGCTCTTAATAAACTAAGTTACCCAGTATTATTATGTCTTAATATCTAAGCCCGTGTTCATATACTGACCTTTAGAGATGATGGTGTTTGATGATTGATGGTGGTGATTTACTGATGACTGGTGGTTAATGATTGTTGATGTTGTTTTCAGAGTATTTTCATGGGTTGCTTATCTGATTAGTATTTAGAAGAATTATTTATGTTTTGGGATATGAGAGATTTTTAAGATACTCTGATTTCTTTTTCCTGTGTACTTCCGTGAGCAGTTTGTGTTTATTAACATTCAAAATTAAACTTTTGGTTTACCGTACTAAGCAGAAATGTCAAGATTCAAGAGCCTGAATCCTCAGTTACCCTTTGTTAAGCAGTGTCCAATTTTTGGTGCTTCTGTTTTTAGACAGTGTCATTATTTTAGTAAACGTTGAGTATCTGCATCTCTTTGAGTCAAGCAAAGGACTGAATGAATGTCACCGTATTCTGGAATCAAGAAGGGAATCAGCAAGCAATGGCAGAAGGCTGTTTTGTGGGGGTTTTTGTATGCTACATGTATAATAAACTTCATAGTCCTGGACTGGCAAAATAGTATTTCTCATCAGCACTAAGTTAATTCATTTGTAATGGCAAACAAAACATGCTGTGTGAAACATCCAGTTCACAGATGATACCCTAACGGAAGTTAATGCTATATGATATTTTGGACTGATGATACGTATGCAAGCCTTTAAAAGCACATGAAAGCACAACATGCTCTTCAGAGGTTCCAAACCAAGCTACAACTTTCTTCTGAAGTCCCGCACCATATATTAAAAGAACACAGAAATAGATGAGACTTTTTTTTTCCTTTTCTCATCCCAGAACTTGGCTGGATCTCAAAAGTGCATGTGAATCGACCTGCAGTTGTGAGGCATGCAGAACAAATTAAAAAATGGAGAACTGTGAAAGGTAATTGGCAAGTAAGTGCTCATTTTATGCATTCTGTTCCTGTATTTTTAAAGCAGTCACTCTCCCTCTCCAGGCTGCAATATTGAATTTTTTTCAAGAAACATGTAAACTTAAAAGATGTGCTTGTCCATGTCTTATTTTAATAATTTTTATTTGATGATGATGGGATGGAATAAGGTGACGCATTTATCCAAACAAGTTAAAAACCTTATAACTCATAAGTGGCAAAACCGCAAATGAATTTAAGTCATCTTTATTCATGAGTGGATTAAATTGTATATTACTATCCCACCACATTTATTCTGTTTCCCAGACAGACTTCTCTGCATGCTGCCTTCTTATTTTTTAATTTTAAAGCTGTAAGATATGATCATGGTCCCTGTCAAGTTTGACCTACCTGGATGATTTTTCTTTACTTAAATATCCCCAATGCGTGTGATTTCTTTGCTTAACTACTTCTTACCTATAACTCAAAAATCCTGACTGGCTATGGTGCTGGGTGGCAGAAAGGAAAAATAAAAAGCAGGAAAAAAAAAAAAGTCCTCTAATGTTAAGGGGACTGATTTCTCAACTCCTGAGATAAGGTAAATGATGGTTATTGTCCGTCTTGGTATAAAATAGGTTGACATAAAGCCAGTGGTGCAAATGAGCTTTTCTTTAAGGCTGGCTTGTAGTATTGAACATGTTTCGAGTGTCTTAGCAGTTACCCTCAGCCTCTGCTCTTACTGCCCTTCTGGCAGAATCGACAGATACTGGCCTCATGTGAGCGGGTGGAGCGGGTCCAGAGGAGGCCACGAAGATGATCTGAGGGCTGGAGCACCTCTGCTATGGAGACAGGCTGAGAGAGTTGGGGCTGTTCAGCCTGGAGAAGAGAAGGCTCTGGGGTGATCTTATAGCAGCCTTCCAGTACTTAAAGGGGGCCTACAGGAAAGCTGGAGAGGGACTTTTTACAAGGGTGTGTAATGATAGGACAAGGGGCAATGGCTTTAAACTGAAAGAGGGGAGATTTAGATTGGATATAAGGAAGTTCTTCACTCAGAGGGTGGTGAGGCACTGGAACAGGTTGCCTAGAGAGGTTGTGGATGCCCCATCCCTGGAAGTGTTCAAGGCCAGGTTGGGTGAGGCTTTGAGCAACCTGGTTTAGTGGAGGGTGTCCCTGCCCATGGCAGGGGGTTTGGAACTAGATGATCTTTGAGATCCCTTCCAGCTCTAACCATTCTATGATTCTATGACGTGCGTTTTGGTTTCTCCAGTTTGCACATGAGAATCGTAGCGCAAAGTCATCAGATCAGCAACGTGAGCTACTGCGTTCTGCAAAGCAGAGCAGTGAGGCTTGGCCGCTGCCTCGGCAGCAGGACGGGAAGCACTGAGAGGGGAACGGCAAGCAGCGCTGGCTACAGGTTGCCACAAGAGCTTTGGCAGCATTCAGCCATGGGCAAGATCTGAGAAATGCTGTGCAGCAAACCTGGAAGCTCCCAGTGAGCTCTCAGCCATGGGACTGTAACTGGTGTCCAAAGGACAAACTGATTCTTCATTCACCAAACAGCTGTTCTGCAAGCAAATGCATGTGATTCCTTCCCTCTGCACCCTGAACAAGTCATTTATTGCAGCAGTAACTGAAAACCTGGAAGCAGGAGGAAGGAGGCAGTGAAGGATCAGTTTTAACAGTGCAACGTAGTAGAACAAAGCAAGCATCATTTAATTGTACTTAATTCTTAAAAAAGCTATTCAAAGTAGTTGGCATCCGTAGCTTAGCATGTTGGGCAACCGTTCTGGGGTGGCTGAAGCTGCGTTCCCAATGAGCACAGATCTTGCGGACGACAGTTTGTGGATAATTTGACTTAGCTGTAAGATCCTGCTGGAAGGTGATAGAAAAAAATCTTCCTGCCTGTTACAAGAACTGGAAAGTTTGTGCTTTGAATGTTATGATTCAATAAAAAATGGACATAAACTGGAGGAAGTTAGACTCCAGCTCAGCATTTCTCAAGAGTTTTTTAGGCATAAAAAGTCACTCAATACCAGGTTTAGCAGTCTAGTGGCTCTGGGTTGGGAAATAGTGAGAAAATCCAGAGGGTATTCCATAACCTTGGCTATTTCAGATACTGCAGGTGCAGTAATGTAAAAAGTCAGTCTTCTGATTTGACTGAAGTTACTATACAGAGAACTAAGACATAGAGAGCCACAGGCTTTGATTACAAGGATCATTGGGAAAAAGGGGATTTCGTGTCACTCCCTCAACATGGCTGTAGGACAAACGTTTAATCATTATTAATACTTCTCCACTCTGCTGTGTAGTAACACTGGTACTGAGCTTCTCGAGTAAGGTTTTACTTTGAAGAATGCCAGAAGCGTCTCTCCTGAATTCGAACACTCTTCTTGCAGGATAGTCATGTGCTGTTTATTTCACAGAGATTATTTTGAATGTTTACATGTTTGAATGTGACTAGCACCACAGACTCAAATTTTGAAGCCCAATTACAAAATACGCATTTGAAAAACGCTTTAAAAAAAAAAAAAAAGTTCCTACCAGTTCTTGGAACTCCCTGACTACATCTGTCTTGATGACTTTATGATTCATGTCATAAGAGACGAGACAAAAATTCCTTCAAATGAAGGATAAAAAAAATCCAAGTAAAAGAAACTTTAAAGCCATTTAAAGTGAAAAACCCTTTTGAAGTACGATAGGGTGAAAGTCGAAATTGGTTAGAAACAGGCACTCAGGCTTAGGCTAACAGAGGTCAGTAACAGTTCGTTACTCCATTGAGTCACCTCGGAGCACCTTTCAGTGTAATGTTTACTACAGGTTCAGAAAGGAGACTCCCATCAGCCAAGTTGTGAAAGGTTTTAGGGCAGCCAGCCACTTAAGATTTGCAGAGTAGTACCTCCATGCAGAAACAGCAAATTTTGCTGCCTGTACTGACAAATCGTGTCGCAGAGCAGTCAGAAATTCAGACTTTATGGACTCAAGTGGACTTTGCCATTGCAAACTCTTCCTTTGTCGAACAAGTGCCCACTAAGAGATGTCAGCTTTTAGTGAAGCCATCACTGTAAATAAGCATCTGCTGGAAGACCTTCAACAAATATTTCAAAATAGTATCTTAAGCTCAATTTTTGTTCTGCAAAAAAGCTGAAAAAATTTTTAGTTGTGCTTCTCTTCTTTTCTCTGATTAATAAGTCTTTTAAAATTCTCTAGCATTTTCACCTAAAAAGTGCTTTAGCCTTGTCACTTAGCTCTTACTTTTGTTTTTTTTTCACCAAATAATTACAGATATTTTTTATTCCTGATTCACACACAAAAAAGTGGAAACATCTGGAGTCTAGACCCTAATTTTTAAGAAGTCTGAGTTCTTACTCCTCAGTGATTCTATGTTTCACAGCAGAAGCATGCAAACATGCAAGTATGCAAATTTCTGATGTGTAGACTCATCTGGTTACTGGCAATTGCAAGCCTGTGCTCCTCTTGAACCACGTGTATAATTTCTCATGCATACAAGCCTTAAAGATACGCACATACTGTATAGAATGGAGCCTATTGTAACAGTGAGGTTCTTTTGTCTTTGTCTTACAGAATTAAATTTGAAACAAGGAGCTTTTTGTCCACGTGAAAATATTTGTCTGATTCTTCCAGAGTCCCGTTTGGTAGTTAGTTAGCTTTTGCACCAAAAATTGAGAATTGATCCTTTGATTCTGACTTTGATTCCAGATCCTTTCTGTGCCATTAGATGCTGCTCAATAGATGAACAAATATCTGCCAACCTTGTCTGTCCTAAACCATTCTTTACATATCCTCCGTGTTATATCCCATATATTTCCTGATTCTTAGAGTGTGAGCTAGGCTTCTGATTCCTGCATCTTCTAAGTCAGTTTGGCTTTGGAAACGTAAACTGAAACACAATATTCCTTGCTGCATTCCGTTTTTAGGCTGCCTGGCTGCTGAAAGCTGTCACCTGCATCGATCTTACCACTCTTTCAGGCGATGATACTCCTTCAAATGTTCACAGGCTGTGTTTTAAAGCAAAGCATCCCATCAGAGAGGATCTGCTGAAAGCCTTGGACATGCATGATAAAGGTATGCTAGATTTTGTTGTGTGTATTTTGTTTTAATGTCTGCGTTTCCTCTTTATTTTTTCAGTTTTCAGAAAGGTGTAAAAATGGCCTCTTCTTCCTTTAACAGAAGCAGTTATGGCAGGCAGCACTGCAGAACTAATAGTCCTGAGAGGACAAACTAGGTCCTGTATGGTCTTACTCAAAGCAACTGTCTTAAATTCTAACTCCAAAACATCTATTCCTTTGAGTTAATATAAGAATGCAAGGAGAAGAGAATCCATTCTGGATTTGGCAGCCAAAGTGAAGCATGGACTCAGGGCGAAGCTGTAAGCTGTGGTACCTAATGAGCAAATTTGATGTGGAAGCCACAAGAGTGTAACCTGAGCGTATGTTTTTTAATAACAGTGCACTAAGGTGAGATTAATTGAGTATTCTGTTAATCTGCTGATGTCCTTAGTAAATGGGAGAAGGGGGTGGTGTTCATGCGACTCCTTTGGATTTCCTGCTTAGCTGCTGTTTCTGTAGGTAACTCCCGAGCCTGCCGCTTTGCCTGTCAGAAAAGATGCATTCCGCAGTCCTAAGCATGTTATTTTTCCTTCAGAAAACATCATCTGTTACCTGCTTTTTTAGGTAGTTAGGATAGGAGACATCTTTGCAGCCTCGTCTGCTTTACGGAGTCAATCCTGTAGCGAGCGTACGCGGTTGTGTGCGTGTCGTGCGTGCACATATGCACACACAGAGTTCCCAGCTAAGTCAACGGAGGTGAAGAAGGGGCTGAAAACAGCCTTTAAGAACTGGTGATAAACCTTTCATTGACATTACTCAAGCAGACTCCATCTGAAGTCCCAGTGTTGCACTCAACTGAACACAATACAACTTCAGAGCAAATTTGGACTGTCAATATAGCTGTCAATAAACCCTCTTTATATCCGAGCAGCGTTTCTGAATTTTTCCAGATGTAATCACTGGTGTGTCAGTGAATACAGTTTGACTTTTGTCCTGTCAGGTTGGCCTTATGATGATCTAAAAAAAAGAAAATCCCTGCGATGTTGAGGGCATGCTTTTCCTATTGAAATATTTCCGTTTTGCGCAGGCGTTGGTCGATGAGTTGAAGTCATATGATGTAGAACCAAAGGGTAATCAAGCCTCTGGTTTTAAGGCATACACATAAAATATCAAAGATTAGTCTTTCTTAAAACTTAGATTTATGGACTCTTCAGACAGTTGAAGTATTAAATATGAGGTCAATTATCTGAGACTTGGAGAGAGCAGCATTTTAACTAGAAATGCAGTAAGACTGCATTAACATAAAGACTGCTCAGTTGCTGCTGGGCTCAGTCTGGCTCAACAAGTAAAGAGAGCTTGGCACTGCGGTGTCTCTTGCACTCATTTGCTGACTAAGCATGTACTGACTGTACGTGTTGGCATTAACCAGTGAATCTGTCCGTAAAAATCTTGGCATTTTAACTCCTGCTAATGCAAACTTGCTCCCAGGGCCAGGTGAAGGAACACGAGGGAGGTAACAACACGGAGAATTACCTGGATCCTTTGAGCAATATAACAGACATCCCTAGAGTGGGTGCTTAAGATCCTTGTGAGAATGCAGAAGTGGGAGGTGAGAACAGTGCACACGTGCTCGGAACGTGGATTGTGCTCGAGAAGATGAAAATCTATGTATGGAAAAGTGAACTGTGGCTTTTGCAGGTATTACTGTTGGAGCAGTGTGTGTATATCCCGCGAGAGTCACCGATGCTGTTAATGCCCTAAAGGCTGCTGGTTGTAACATACCAGTAGCTTCAGGTAAGCTTTATTAAAAAATACCCAATTAAATGTTTTGATGCTATAAAATATGGAGAAAAATCCAGAAGCTTGGACTTGCTTTTGTTTCAGAGAGTCGGGTGAAAAGATAGCAGGTGGAAGGAAGGGAATGGAAGGGAGGATTTGCTTCTGGTAGAATCTTTTGTTTTCTTTCAACTTCAAGC